CTTTTTCTATAATATAGGCTTTTCCTACTAAAGTAGCAATAGTTGCAGTTTGCGTTCCTTTGTCTTTAGCTGCTCTATAGAACCTTATTCTTAGCTGCTCTAGCTATTCTATTACTTAAGCGCCTGTTTATTTTTTTAGCTATTTTTATAGCTAATAGTTTATATATTTTGTTTTATAATATACTAGATATAAGTTCTAGTAGTATATTCGCCAGTTTTTTCCTTTTCTATATTCTATTAGGTACTAAAGGTCTAGAACTATAGTAGCTACCCCTATAAGTTTATTTTTCTTGCCTATAATATAGTATTCTGTTTCCTTAAATAGTACTAGTTGTATAATAATATAATATCTTGTCCGATATAGGTACTATTTTTAGTATTTCTTATGCAATATATGCTTGTTATATTTGTCTTTAATATATAATACCTAAGATATCTATTTATAAAGCGGGTGGTTTCTATCTAGCTATTTATTTTCCTTATTATAGATACCTATTTCGCCGATAGGGTGTAATACCCTATAGATCTCGATCTCGGTTTATTTTCTATATAGCTCTAGCGGTTCTTGCTCTAGTCTAATACTAAATTCTCTGTTGCTAGACTACTTTTCTAGTTCGCGATTTTTATTACTATTATAGTACTTCTTACTATCCTTAATAGGTAATTTATTATTTTATTTTATCTAAACGTTGCGGCTTAAGCCTTTAAATATATTTAATCTCGCGCAAGTTTCTGCGTTAAGAGTTGGTGTTATTATTATTGTTCCTGTAGCTGTAGCTATTTTTTCTTTTTTTTCTTTAATAAGTTATCCTATAACTCTTTCTATAGCTTTTAGGAATTAGTTAACTGGCTAGTTCTTTTAGCTCTGCGCCTGCTGTAGCGTCTTTAGCCTTACGCGCTTCTTATTCTTTATTAAGGCGTGTAAGAATCTCTCTTACGCTTTGCTTATATATAGCTATAACTCTGTCGACCTGTACTTCTATATTTAATAACTTAGTTTTACTATTATTCTATAGCTCGGGTATATTAGTTTAGGGTTCTAATTATAGTTTAATTATCTGGAACGCCTTATCTATCTCTAATAAGTAGTCGATTTCTATACTCTTAACTTCTATATCTGCGTAGTAGTTGTCTATAGGGTTGCTATTATACTCTTCGTTTCTTATTATAGTAATAGTACGTCTTCCCCGGCTCTAGGTGAGATAGTACCCTATTGCCTGCTTATTTAACTAATAGGTAAAGCAGTTGTTATTATAGTACGCAGTCTATAATATAGAATTATAGCGGTTTATATTCGGCTTTACTATAACTGCTGCTGTTTAGGTATTTCTAGAGCACTTATTTATAAAGTATTCCTGTTCTCCGTATAATAGGCATGCGCTGTTAGGCTTTCTATCTTACCTCTCTTTATTAGTAATTAGTTTACCCTTCTAGTTATTACGTTATTTTATAATATTAATCTCTATATAATCTCTATAGTCGCGGTTGTTTACTCTTAGCTTTAGTCTAGCTAGTTAGGCGTAGGAATAAAGTCCCCTTTTATCTGCCCGTTCTAGTTATTGCTTATACTATTAACTGTTAATTTATATTACTATTTCCTTAAGTTTATAGAGTATTAAAGGCCTTTCGCCTTATATAATTTTATTTTTAATATTTTCTTTAAGACCTCTATAGTACTATACTTGCAGAGCTTTATCTCCCTATAATAGCTTAAACGCGATTTATATAAATTCTAAAGTATAGCGGCTAGTTAAGCCCCTCTGCTTTAGAACTGCAATTTTCTGTTCTGCTATCCGTTCTTTATTAGTGTTTCTAAAAGTTATCTAAAGTGCTAACTCGAAGTATCTATAGTTACTAAATATAATATTAGTTTCTAGTTTCCGCTCGTCTGCGTTAGCGTTGCTAAGCTAGTCTATAAGTATTAGGTTGAACCAGTTAAACGCTTTTTTCTTTAAGAAGGTAGCTGCTATACAGACCTTATCCGATTTAAATTTAAGGTTGCTCTAGTTTGTGCGCAGGTATAGCCTTATCTGCGTTATAAACGCTTGCAAGGTTCCTCTATTACTAGTAAACTCTTCGGGTTTATTTATTTTATAGCCTCTATAGCTAACCGTTCTACTAGTAGTAAGCTTTTTTTAGACAGTCTAGAGATTTCTCTATAGGGCTGTAATTTTTTTATTTTTAGTATTGCTAGCTTCTTTTAGTACTTATAGCTGTGTAAGCAATACCTATATACGTGTTGCTACCTTAGGTATAGTTAGAGTTAGTCCAGCAGTTATACTGCCTAAAGGGGTTAGTAAGGCTATTTAAATTAATTGTTTATATATAACTCCTTTAATATAGCGGTGTTTAAAGTATAATAGGTTGTTTTTTCTATACCTTCTAAGTGTTACACACTAAGGCAGGGTATAGGTTAAGTTATTATCGGGGTGCAATAGTCTTTAAAAGGTAAGGCAAGATTAATCTTAGGTATAAAACGGGGTTGTTACTTCCAATAGGTAGTATTAAAGTTTTAAGTTGAATATAAGGTTCCTATTTATATAAAGGAGCGTCCTTATATATAAAAGCTCCGTCCTAAGAAACCTGTTTACTTGTTCCGCTCTCAGGGCTTATAGCCCTTAAGCGCCTCGAGCCCGATAAGCGCTCGCTCAGCTCTATGTTTACTTCCCTCTGCGAGCTTAACGAGCCATCACGTGACCCTGTCCTTGTAATATCCTATTCTTAGATCGTTCCTATCTACTAGCAGTCTGTAGGGGAATCCAGGATCCCTATGCGCCCTACACGTGACCCCCTTAGTCCCGTGACCTGGTTCTGCGTAATTAGTCTTATCTGCTTACTTGTCTCCGCGAGTGCAGCTGCGCTTAGGTGGTTTGTATTACGGGTTGTAACAGATCTGTGCTATTGCCTTAGCCGTCCGGGATAGAAAGTTACATAAACTGCTTTATTCCCTTAGAAATTCTTCTTAGGCATTTGCATTATTATCAGCCGCGGCGGTCCTCTTATGCTATATTAGCTAGTTAGATATCTTATACTCTGTCTCTGCTATAAGCTTTCGGCACTAAGATTTAATTGCACTGTTGTAAGTTTTATATTTATATGTCTTTAATTAAAGAGGCTTTATCTAATTGCTTAGATTAGTATATTAGCTACACTTAAATGCCAGGATAACGACGAGCTCTGGTAGAAGTGGTACTTGCCGGAAATGCAATTATCTTAACAACAAATATAGCTTCCAAAAGTGCAGTTATTATAGCTGTAAGACGCAGTGGAAAGTATATTAATCTTATAGATATGCGCAGTAGACGCTTTGTAAAGAGTGCACCGCTTATCCAGGTTCTGGTCCAGACGGAACTAAGCCTGGAGGTTGGATTAGAGAAGGGCTATCTGCAGCATAGGATACGACGGCGTAATCTAGCAGAGTTAATGCTTAGGTTCTGTTGCTATAATCTTTTCTTTAAGTCCGAATCTAAGGAGCATTGGGCGAAATAAATACGACTTGTTTAATAATTGTCCTTAGTCTCGTTCTTATATACTATTGAGATTATGCGCACCTTTATGTTTTTATCCTAGCTAATCTATGCTCTGGCTATATTCTTGTGGCCTAGAAACTATCTATTGCTTTTGCAGCGTTCCTCTATTGCGGTTATATATTTAGTGTGGTTTTATACTGGCTTAGGAACCCTAAAGTTGGAGCTGGCGACAATAGAGAGCTCTCTGCATTCCGGCTGCCGCCTGGCTCCGGCTCGCTGCGGCTTGCTGGCCCGATAGCCTGAACAATTAAGGAATTCTGGGAGGGCTCGCACAATTAAGAGTGCTTTTGCTGAAAGCCGCGAAGTCTGGCGCGGAATTCAGGCGGAGCTGAGGCCGGATAGCTTTATTGAAGGATTAAGGAACGAGCGCGGAGCGGCGCCCGGCGCAAACCGACAACATTCCACGCCAAGCCCGCGTTAGAGCGTGCGGCCACTACACCTCAACTGTGAGAGTGCGGCAGAGCGAAACCCTGTTACCTTTACTGGTCATGCGCGCTGCACCCCGCGCCGTACTAAGCTACTACTTGCACGATATCTCTAGCTAAGCAGCACGGCGGCAAGCAGCAGGCACAGCGGTAAGGATATCCTATTAGACTGTATTATTGGTTAAACCCTTCTAGAGGCCCTAACTTATCTGTCGCAGAACTATCGGCGCCAACCCCGTATATGTCGCAGGATATAGTAAGCTGCGCACTAAAAAGGCGCTGCTCCCCGCCCGCCTCTTAAGCAGCCCCCCGTCTTGTTTACAATTACTAGATGCTTGAACCACAACTTTTAGGTTCACGCAAGCGTTAACGCTTAGAGCGGCCTTAACCGAACAAAGCATTGCAACCGGCGTTGAAAAAGCAGAGGCTTAGCTATTACAGCGGATCCTAACCACCGGCGGTATTTTAGGATAACTTATTAAAGATCTGGTTAACGAAACAAGCGTTAAGAGAGCTAGACCGAAGAAACACTTAAGCTGCTCTAAACCCACCCTGTTCACTGTATCAACGAGTCCGCCAGCCGGCCACTTGAAACTTCCTCGCTTAGTTAAGGAGAAGTTGCCAAACCGCCCAAGACACCGCCGACTACCTTCGCTGTTGCGATTCGAAGACCCTTAAGGACGTAAAGCTGTTTACCAGACACGGTGGTCCAGATCTATTAGACTTAAGGAATATATATACTGTAAGATACTTTCCAGCTACCGCTAAAGCTAATAACGCTTTCTAGTACCCCGAACCTATACATCCTTCCTATTACACGATAAGCTCGAGCCAGTTAAGTTCTTAGAGCCGACAACAGGGTTTAGTAAATCCCCTAAGCACTAAGCCTACTACAACAAAAATAATAAGCACCGGGGTTTATAACCGCGCCTTTTATTAACACCTTATTAATAACACTGTTTATCCTAATATATACAAATACTCTAATAGTCGTCTGCCCGCAAAGCTAGACAACTAGAAGAATTTTAAATATATATTAGTATAACCTCGACTATCTCTTTCGCCATCTAAATTCACTAATAAAGAATATAAAAGATTTGCGCGGGCAGACGCGCATGCCGCCAAAGAAAAGCAGGTTTCAGAATCCGTGATTCCCATCATCGAGGGCAAGATCGCGGACGCGAGATGCCGCTCGGGAGGAATCCCGTTTACTAACCTCGACCCTCTGACGGACGGCACGCTTACACCCGGGAACCCAGACATCTACTACGGCGCGCGCCCCGAACAGCTCGCTCGAAAAGTCCGCGACGAGATTGGCGGCCAAATCACTCCTTCAACGCAGCATGAGGATGGTTGTGAAACAATACGTTGAACGGGTTAGGTAATGTATTGAGTGAGGAACTATCTATCTTACATGCGCAGTATATATACTGCGTATGGGTAGGCTTTGTAAGCCGTATCGCTGGTTCTAGCTGGTTCCAGCTGGTTCTGGTACAGCTTCTTACCAAGCATACCGTATTACTAAGAGGGCTAAATATAGGATACAAACACGTACTCCGTCACAGCACGACCTTCCCCTCGCGCCAAACTTTTTCCTGGCGGCCAAGGGGCCGGATGGATCGCTGGCGGTGGCTGGACGACAGGCTTATTACGACGGCGCATTGGGAGCAAGAGGCATGCACAGTCTTCAGTTATACGGGAAAGACAAGCCTGTTTCCGATAACAACGCTTATACTGTTACGTCGATTTATCACGGCGGCACTTTTAAAATGTACACCAGCTACCGTGCTTAGCTATCTACTCCTGGGGGCCGTCTAGAGTACCACATGACTTAGCTGGGGGCTTTTGCGATGATAAACAACCTGGACACTTTCCGACAGAGTGCTGGGGCGTACAGAAATGTAAGAGACTAGGCAAAAGAGCAGAGGGACAAAGCTATTCGACAAGCGAACGAGAGAGCTGACCCCGTTAAAGCTGAAGCACCAGCACCAGCACCGACAGGTAATCTAGCGGGTGATGCATTAGGCGCTAGCCCTGCTTTAAGTTTCGTAACAGCAGTGTTGGATACAGAAGCCTACACCACAAGTAGGGTATTTTAAACGTCGCCGAATAGAGATTCTAATATATAGGGGGACTTTAAGGAATCCGATAGTTTAACAGAGGAGCTGGATTACAGACCACCGGCTAAACGTTCCAGCAGGCGTTCTAAGCCCCCACAGACCGAGCCAAAGCGACGCAACGCCGGTGAATCTACCGACAGCTCACACAGCCATGGACCTGCCGTTGTGCCCGTTTCGCAAAGCTCCCCGGCAAACGTTGCAACGACTTAGCAGCGCGAAGAGTGGTTATAGACAGATGGCAAATTTCAATATTGCAAAGGGCAGACACTTATAAAGGAGCAGAGCGATACTCCGGCTAATATATAGGTTTACTATAATTAAGGCTGGCCTGGTTAAGAAGAGAAGAAATAGAGGCATTGGATGTCGGCCACGCGTGAAATCCTATATTTATAACGGCAGAGGATTTTGTTAAATGCTTGTTTATTCTGTTAAACTATTAAATTCCTAGCTTAGTAATTCACTTAATTATTACAGCGCTCTTTGCTTTGGACGGGCGTCGCTATTACAGTGAGGGCTAGGATAACTACGGGTCGAGTCACCCGTGGTGTCGCATTTAGATTAGTGCCATCCGTAGCGTCCCTTTCTAAATGCCGCAAACAGGCTTCAGCGGCCGGTTGCGCTACTATGCTGCAGTCCTGTTCAGCGCACCGCTATTTTCGGTTTCCATAATTATATTCATTTGTGCAGCCTTCGGTGTAGATCGGGTGCGAATCTGGGACTACGCGCCAGAAGCTTTTTTACGTGCGGTCGTCCGAAGGCGCTTCAAGGCAGGGCAGGAAGACGAGGGTTATCGGTCGGCGATGGACCGTTCGGCGGCGGGCTTATCTCAGCGAGAGGGGAGCGTGTGCGCTTCGAAGCGCGCGAAAGGACGGAGGGAAGATGAGGGCATTATTCTGCGCGGCTTGGGGAGGTAGTCTACAGTGTGTTGGGCGGAGGAGGGGGTAGGGTAGGGGTTTTCGTGTGCGCCGCCGGCGCCAAAGACGTCGTCCAACTGGACGTCGGCAAGACTTATAGCGTCGAGCAAGACGAAAAGGCGGTGCAAAAAAGATCTGACGGTGACAGGGACGGAGCATGCGAGAAGGCAACGTGCGTGGTAGTATCGCGGGCCACGTGAGCAAGGCCGCCCAATTCAAATTATCTTACCCAGGTCTATTTTGTGGCTGTGGGCGTTTGGTGGAATTAATAACCCGTTTGCCCTACAAATAACTAGTTAAGAACAGGCACGATTATGCAATCCCTCGCAGATATTAAGAGGCTATTTGCAAGCGGTGAAATAGAGCTGTATATATCTAGCGACTCCAACACTATAGACTAGGGCTAAATGCATAACTAAAATGCGCGTCATCGCGGACGCCTTCCCCGTTCCGCTGCTCAACGGGCTGGTTCGATATGCACGTGGTGCTTAAAAGATAGTAGTAGGGCAAGGGCAAAACCGGGTGCAACCCCTCGTATATAAACTTAACGTTGGGCACCAACACCCGAGAGTAGCTAGACACTTTTACCGATAACACCTTTATATTCCCTCACGCCCGTGGACTCTGCTTCGTTGATTGCCGGTGGCGCAGTTTAGCAAAGTCGCTCTGCGTTTGAGTTTACAATCCTCCTCTTTTTGCGCTTCTTGCCTGCTCTATGCACACCCCCCAGAGGTTGCATTTTTGCAAGATATTAAGGTGAATATCAACTAATCCATCTTATTCTTGGTTACTAACGGCTGACAGATCTTTGCGCGAATTGTAGCTCTCCTCTCCTAGCCGACTACTAGAAGGCGCCTACCTTAACACCCTCGCCCCGATTCTTAAGCTTATCGAATTCGCTCCTTTTACTACGTGTGCTGCGTGCCTTTAACTGTACGTTGTTCTACTATCGACGGTATAGTCTATAAAACGCGCACTGTGTAGCTAACCTTCCTCGGCTTTATAGGTAGAAACGCTGGAGTTGCAAATCCTTAAGCCTATTAACGTTAAAACATGTTACAGTCACGGTAAGTAGCAAAATAAGCTGTATTATCCGCGGTATATCGTGTTTAGCCGCTAATATTGCACTAAAAACAGCTGTCCTTATATACGGCGCATATTCGAATCCGTCGAGCCCAGAATTAAGCGGCGTCACGTCGCCGAAGAACCAGTAAGGATACAATATTCGGCCTGGAGGAACTTTATTAATATCGGTAGACCTGCTAGACACTTAACATACTATTAAAGGCCTTCTATTATATCTAAGGAGGTATATATGGTTATTTAACCCGTTTTAATATTAATATAAACTAATTTATAACTATATTTAGACTGGAGCGAAAGCCCTTAGAGGAGAGAAGGAATATATAAACAGTATAATATTCGACGGAGTGGCATCCCCCAGAAAGATAACAGGAAGAGGTAAATTAATTCAGATCTACGATTCTAAGGCAGACATGAGCTCCCTGGCGTACTGGGAACACGAAAACCCCTCCGAAGATGGTACTTATAATATTCCTGCTAGATATAAGGTTCGCGTAATAGGATCTACAGTAAAGTTTACATAGATGCGAGCTGGAATTTCTTAACCAGTTCTATCCCCTTCTTATTACCAACTATTAGAGTAATAGAGATGTCTTGGCTCCGGTTCTTAGGGGCTAATGCATTTATACAGTCTGTTGTTAATCTTCCTCCTAGGCTATATTCCTATTTCCATTAATAACTACTCTCGAGAGCATTAAATAGTAGGCCCCCTAGGCGTGGTATCTTACTAATCGGTACTTCCGAGTATCTGTATTCAATTTCTATAGTAAATATTATTAGTAATGCCTTACGAATAATAAAAGCTTCTTGCTTATGCCTGCCTGCCGATATAGCACCTCTGTTCGGGCCGTAGGCTGGGAATTTTAACAATTAGCCTCGTGCATAACTAAGTGGTGAGGCTTAATATACCTAGCGCTAACTGTTCGGCTTGTTAAGTGTTTTCTTTAGTGCGTTTTTGTTTCCTCGGCCGCATTAGAGTGGCTTCTGGGCCTGATTAACTGTTAAAATCTAGCGAATAATTAACTTCTTACTAATTTTACATATTAAATCTGCTAACCTTCGAGAAATTTACGATATTTTTATAATTATGCAAATAATTCTTCGACTTTAAAGACGTGCAAGATCTCTCCTATCTTTAGGGGCTATATCTGCACTTCTTCGGGCTCTATCTCCTTAATAAGGTAATTAAATATATGATTCTGCATGTAGCTTGCCGTCTAAATAGAAGGTGCTAAGGCTGCTCCCTAAGAAATCACCCTGTTAGGGTTCGACTCCCGAATAAGCTTATATCTCGTGCGCGTTTGCTTATTCCTTAATGTAATCTATCCAGGATCGAGGGCAGAGTCCTTTAGGCCTTTGAAAATCAATTTAATGTTTTTTCTAAACGTTAGTATGCTCCTAAGCTAATTGTTTTCGATTATGCTTTCCCTGGTTGTGTCTGCCTGTGACAGGAATTTCCTGCCTTCCTCGCGAATTTGCTCTGCACGTCCTTCCTCGAGGCGTTCAATGCGTCCCGCAACTTTCGCTGCAGCCTCTTAAAGCCTATTACTTAAGGCTTTAAGACTGTAATACTGTTCCTTAGATTAGCAGGCTTTAATATAGCCTATACTTTCTGCTATTAACTCGGCTTTTTAGATAAGAGATTCTAAATAGGATATAGCAGTAGATACCACTGATAATATAATAGGCCCGAAAAATCGACAACCTAAGAATTTTAAAGTTTCTTCCCGGGCGGGTTAGGGGCTAGCGTGGTTAAGTCTGCGGGGAGGCATATTAGTACTAAGTCCGGGGTGTGTAAAAGTTGGGCATATTCTATTAATAATTGTTAAGCTTGCAAGCAGGGTTAAATAGCCACTTTTGCAAGATCTATACTCTCCTCTAGAATATTGCCTACTAGGTCAGGCGAGGCCCCACCGCCACTAACGCCCAGTCCTGCACAAGCCGGGATTAAGATCCTATCCTGCAGGCCCTAACTCTATTCCCGTAAGAATATACCTTAAGCCTATTACTTACTTAAAGTCTCCCCTATATTAGTAGTATTCGCTCTAATAGTTGTTACTAAAATCTTATATTAAAACTATTAGCGATGTCCGCATAAGCAGCCGCGTTTACATCGCTTAACTCTATTAAGCTCTCCAACCTGTCGGAATAATATATATAATTAGGCGTCTCCTTAGATTATATCGCTAGGGAGGAGGATAGTAAATAATCGCGGTATAGCTAAATATCGCATCGAGATGTATAAAGAAGGGTAGGCCTCTCTCGAAAAATAATACTATTAACTTCCTCTATGTTTAGTTCTTTACTCCAATCTTACACTATAGATTAATAATGCTAGTCGCATCTAAGCTTATCACGGCAGCGCCCTTAAACCCTTATGCCGCGGCCACCCCTCTAAGTAGCCTAAGCCAACCGCTTTCTCGCTATGGGCAGTTAGAGCAGCTTATTGCCTTTAAATTGGCTGCACTCTTTAAGGACATGCTAAAGATAGCAAAAGCGCAGGAAGTGCCGCCGCCTCCTCCTAAGGTTTAAGTAAGTAAAGAGGAAAAGCAAGTTTAAGCCAGGGCTTTTAAGGTTAAATTTAAGCTTATAAATGAAATATATACTCCCCAAAACTAAAAGAATACCTGTATAAGCTAACAGAGTCCCCTCTATAGCTAGGATAGAGCGAACTGCAAGTATAAAATTATAGAGACACTAGAGTTAAGTAAAAATAACGAGTATAAAGAGTACTTATTTATTATAAGGCAGTAATTTGGTTTATATCCTAGGTGTTCTTATATATTAATTCTGCTAACCCTAAGCTAGATAAGAACAATAAATCCTTTAGCACGTTTTTAGATATAAAGTTGGAAGAACTAAGAAACATCTTACAGTTATTGCTAAAAGATATAAAAGCCGTCTGCCTTAGAGAAGACAAGCCAACTATAAGTAGGTTCTTTATAAATACGGCCTTATTTTAATTTCAATTCCAGATTTCACCAGAAGTCTTATTCAGTTTCCTCCCTTAGCTAAAAGCCTATTGAACGAGTCTCTCCCCAGACTTAATCGGTGCACAGTATCTCGATGTGCTAGTAGGGTTTCTGGAAAATCATTTCTTATCCATAACTAAGAGCCTCCTGCTACTCCTGGAGCATAGCAAAATCACCTTTAGCCTTCTTTAGGCCTTATTCCAGCCAAATATACACATCTTTACAGTCTGCAATAGCTCGGATTAACCGAGATGCCTTATATATAATTCAGGCGAGTTAAAGTCCTTACTCTTGGGCGAAAAGCGCTTCGAACTTAATTGTTGCTATCTTGGCTACAACGGAAAGGTCTTCGGCGAGGTGGCAACCACTCTTTCCATCCTAGAGTTTCGTTCAACGAGGAAAATTACATCTCTTAATGCATTCCCGCTGACGTATTACGAGACCGAAGCTAAGATAAGGCAGGATTTTATTCGCAATAGACGGAAGTTTATGTTTCTTAGAGGTATCCACTACTATAATTGCAAAGGTTTTAGTTATTTCTAAACTAATAAAGGCCTATTAAAATTTTCTATAAAGGGCCGCATTATAGTAGACGCGATAGCGTTTAAAAACACTAATCCTAACTATAGTAAGCCGCGAGTTAAGGAGACTTCTTATCGAGGTTTTTATACAATCGATTTTGATGCTAAAAGAAAGAAGATGCAGCAAGACAAGGTAAAGAGTAATAGTATAGTTCCCGAAGAGATAAGAAAAGAGGAGCTTTTAATCTGCAATCCGACAGTTCTTAGCTTTAGTTTAGCGAATAAATAATAGGGTTAGACTTCTCTACCTCTCTTATCCGATAGCTTATATAACTAACACCAATACTAATAGGCGAATTTCCCGTCGCCAATATTAAGGATATTAGATGGGATACCTTAGTATTTAAGTTGCTTATAATCCCAGAGCAAAAGAAACAGATGCTTTAAGCACTTATAGAGGGCTATTAGTCTAGGTTAGAGCACGTTGAATTTAATAACGTGATTTTAGGAAAAGAACAAGGCCTAATTATCCTGCTTTAGTAGGTTTACTGCCTAGGCACAGGCTATTTTAGCGGACTAATTATTAATTTCTAGTGGCTCGCCTGGGGTGGGAAAGATATTAACAGCTAAAGGAATTGCAGAGTTCTAGAGAAGACCTCTTTATATAGTTTATTCCCTTGCCGAGCAGAGTTATATATTAGTTTAACTGTTTAAAGGCTTATGCGGGAGACCTTAATTTAGATCCGGCCGGACTAGAAGCGCATCTGTCTCCAATCCTTAATATCGTTCAACGCTGGAGCGCTGTGCTCCTTTTTAATAAGGCTAATATCTTCCTTAAACAACGGTCGCCGTACAACCTCTAATATAATAGCTTAGTATTAGTCTTCCTACAGTAGCTAGAGTATTTCTAAGGCGTTATATTTCTTATAATAAATAGAGTTAGTATGTTTAACAACGCTATGCAGAGCAAAATACATCTCGCACTTAGATATAACAACCTAGACGAAGTAGCAAAAGAGAAAGTATGGAAAATCTTCTTCCGGCAGGCCGGTGCTACTGCTAACATCTCTCCTAGAGATCTGAATAAGCTTCGCGCTTATTATTTTAACGGAAAACAGGTAAAGCAATAATTAATCGAGAGCTTCTAAACTTAATGCTAATATAATATTTTAGATTAAGAACACTATACGAATTGGGCTTGCCTTAGCTAGCAACGCAGGAGAGAAGCTTGTATATAAGTATCTAGAAACCGCTGTTACAGCGAACAAAGAGTTCGAACTTAACTTTAAAGGTGTTGGATCGGTGGAGAATTTAAACTTGTATGCATAGGGTCGTTTAGATTAGCACTCTACTTAGGAGGTACAGCAGGCAATTTTCTCGAGTTCTCTAAGTTATATATATAAGTAGACGGTTTTGTCTAACAGGTTACGTATATTAGTAAGCGATGTTACTCCTCTTACTCGTTTATTAAGGTGAACTCGGCGAGAGGCAGCGCTTGCAGATTTTATAGATCGGGACTAAAGGCGGTTAAGATAGGACGAGCTTAATTACCACCCCCTCTTTCTCTCCGCACTACCCCCCTTTTCTCTTCCTACTACCCCCCCTATATTTAGTCTAGCTTCGGCTTATAATAACTTTGTTCCACTAATTAGGTTATCGCTTAGGCAATAGTAGTGTTAAATAACGGTCTTAATTCACTAATATAGCACCGGACCTCTTTTTCTACCGGATAAGCAGGCACCCTAACAGCAACCCAGGGTTCTATTTCCTTAGTCTCCGACAGTTAACTAGCCCTTAAGAATGGCCCTTTATCTACTCCTAAGGAGAAGGCTGTTTATAGTAAAGGAGCTGGTGCAGCGGGAGGATCTTCAGGTGTAAAACCTTAGTATAATAGTATATACAGCGTTCCTTTTAATCAGCAATTAAAAGTAGTTATCTAGGAGCTTTCCGCTTCTAGCTATAGTAAAGAGAGTGAATAGACTATTGCTGCATGTGTATATATCCTTTCTAATTTATATAGCCTTTCTAATTTGTGTATACATCCTTTCTAATTTGTATAAATAAGTAAATCTAATTAGTGGAACAAAGTTATTACCGGCCGGAGCTAGGCTAAATATAGGGGGGGTGGTAGGAAAAGAAAAGGGGGGTAATGCGGAGAGAAATAGGGGGTAGTAATTAAGCTCGTCCTTAAGGTACTGGCAGTAATATAGTTAACAGCAAGCAACGCACCACTAGCGTACTGCGCGAGCGTAGCACGGTTGGCTATGGCGGCGCGTGGCCAATAGACGCCCGTCTGCTGTAACAGAACTGCAAACAATAGATAATGCGTGATAGTGCTTCTGCTCTAATTCGTCCACCTACTAGCGCTGTTATACTAGCGTCTCCTCCCAGGCTTCTAATTTTTCGGACGCTTCCGGCCAGTCTAATAATAAACCTCTTATATAAAACTATAGATTGGGAACCCTAGAGAGCTTGCATTCCTTACTTATATAGTACTATAATTGCCGAGCCGACTTTAACAGATAGATACTAAAGAATAGGACATACTATATATTTAAACTGCCGTCCTAAGTCTAGAAAGTCTTTTAATCGCAGACTCTATATAACTACCACCACCGCCACCGAATTCTATACATCCATTAAAAACAATCTTAAATTCGGGAATCCGCCGATATCCCCAGAACTTATGCTACATGCAATTTAAGTTCCATTTAGATAATATTTAACAGAAACTTAAACAGAATATAGATTCTACAGACAATCTAGACATCTATTAGTAGACACTTAACTTAGGATATAGCGATTTAAATAGTGTTTATAGCTACTACTACAGTAATTAGCCTTAAGGTATTTAAGTGCTTAGCGAGCCAACGGGCAAATGCTTTAATAGGAGCTCCTTAGAGTTTTAAAAGGAAGATATTTAGGCTTGCTCTTAGCATTAGGGGTATAATAGAGATTGTATTGCGGCTAGGATAGTAAGATGGGCTTTTAAGGAGGTTTAAGAGGAGAGATAAAATAGGTTATGCTTTGCTGGCGAAGGCACTCGCTTAGTCTCCTGTGTTTAGTTAATTATTCTTAATATCCGTTATACTTAGTAACTTTATATAAGATATTTCCTTCTAGATATTATTTGCAACTTTACTCTACTAGGTAAATTATAAGAAAGTGAGCTAGTTATATATAGGCCTTTTTTACCAGCAACTGGCGAAGCATCGAAAATTAAACGGTTAAATATAACGATAGCACTAAACCTATAAATTTTCGGCCAGATTCGATTATTGCTTTATTAATGAATTCGGATAAGTAATAGAACTAGTCTTCAGCGCACTGTTATATTATTACCTATTAAATTGCTCGCGTTATCCTATATTAGTAAAGCGATAGTCTATTATATATTAGCCACGATCTCTCTTAGAACCAAGAGGAGAAAATCCAACTTAATAGTGTTTATAACTAATACTTTTTACTTCCTTAATCTTCTACAGTTCTAAAACTCCAGGGGCTTTACACTATTACCCTCCTTTTTTGCCCAATTAAAATTCTTTAATCGCATTCTAGATAGCGAGGAATTTAGGGACTTTATTGCGCATTTTATAGGATACTTATTAGGGAAGAGTATAATTAACTTGGTTTTAGATTAGAGAATAATAGGAGGGTTAAGAACTCGAAATCTTGGGATCTTGCTAGAATTAGAGGTAAAGTTACGTCAAGCTTTCGATACTTATTAGACTTCGAAATTAGGCAAATACAGCAAGTAACGTAGTAATTATTTTAATATATATATGTGTCACGCTAGCGCTATAAGCAGGAGTTTAAGGGCTTAAGAAAGAGCGTTGATTAAGTGCTAGGTACAATACTATGTGGAGAATTAAGACATTGTGTAAAGAACAGGAAATTAGGAGCGCCGGCGAAGAAGATATACCGGCGGGACGTGTGTATGGCGCGAGCTTACGAGCTCCGTACGAGATCAGGTGACGAAGCCACGTAATAGGCGAATTATGGTAGGTAAGGTGTTGCGGGTAGTTACTATAACAGTACCCCCCCTTTAAACCTAAGTCTATTGGGCGTTAACGTTATATTATACGGATATATTAGGTGGTTTAGGTATATTAGGGTGCCGGCGGCAATAATTAGCGGCAGCTGTTGTATTCTTAAGTTCTAAGGCAGGCTCCCAGGATAACTTATTATAGCCAGTCTATTTAACAAGGTATTTGTGTCGCTTTCGGCGTTGGTTAAAGCGGAGGTCTTTAATGCGGTTAATATAGTACTCCGGTTCGCTATTAATTTTAATAGGTTTAGGAGAAGAGTTTTCTTGGCCAGGAAGGTAATCCGAGGACGGGGCGGCAGGCCGTAGGAGAGAGATGTGGAAGACAGGGTGGATTTTTATTATATTAGGCAGGCCCAATCAATAGGCGTATAGTAAAACTACTTGCGTAATTAGAAACTTTCCGAGGTTCTTCCAGTCGAGCTTCTTAGACTTTTGTTTTGTACGGATGTTCCGGGCGTCTAGCTAAACTTTATTGCCAACGCGGTAGGATAGTGTACCGGTGCGTTAACGGTTAGCGAACTCTTCTTGCATCGCCTGTGCCCAGGTTATCTCTTTACGGATAAACTGTTCGATATCGGTTATCTTATTAATTATTTAATTAGCCTTACAGGCTTATAGCGTTTAGTAAGCAGGGCGCTGTATTCCTATAGGGGGTTTAAAACCTATTTAAGGGTTTTGTCCTGTAATAGCAATAAACGGTGTTACTATAGTTAATTTAGATCTTATATTATTTACTTTAAATTAAGCTAATGGCAGCCAGGTTACCTAGTTATTTTGCTAGTAGTTTATATAAGCACGGAGGACTTATTCCAACGTAGAATTAGCTTTTTCCGTCTGGCCATCTATTTTAGGGTAAAAGCCTAATAATAGTCGGGCTTTAATTTATAGTTGTCTGCATAGTTTATCCTAAAACACGGAAATAAACTGCAATTCTTAATCGGAGACGCATATATTAGGAAGGCTGTAATATACCTAATATACCGGTAGAACAGGTTAGCAGTGGCTTAAGCTATAATTGTTTTATAAGGAATAATATATTAGTACTTGCTTAGGCGATCTACTATAACTATAATATTAGTATAGCCTTTAGATTTAGGTAGATCTATAATAAAATTAACGGAGATATCTTACTAGCAATATAGCGGAACTAGTAGTAGCTTTAGGAAGCTGTTATATTTTTCTTTTAAAGCCTTTATATAGTAATAGGTGTAATAATAGGCTATAAATCAACGGATTATCTTAAATATCTAGGGCTAGTAGTATTTTTTCTAGAGGATTTTAAAAGTTTTTCCGCGGCCTAGATAGCCGCCTATAGGTGAATTATATATATATTAAAGGAGCTTAATCTTTAATTTATTATAGTTAGGAATTGCAAGCAATTACAGTAGAATAGTTTACTATTACGGACTTTATATTTACTTAGGGTAATCTTCTTTAAATATTAGGTTCTAGATTATATTAGTTCTAGGACTTCTTATATAAATTTGTTATTAGGGTATTCTTCCTTAATAATTTCTTAAATTGTGAAATTAGTTTCTATAAGGTTTAATTTAGTAAACAACTTAGGGCGTAATAGAGTCTAATTTCAGGCGGCTTAGGCTTCTTTCTGCGCGGGTATATCCTGTATACAGCAGGTTAGGGTATCCGGCTTCTTTCTAAACTTGTTGGGTCGGTATATAATTATAAAGTTGAAATAAAACAGGTATTCTACCCAGCAGGCCTGTTAGTAGCTAAGCTATTTTATAGTAGCAAAGTACTGCAGGTTTTTATAGTTACTAAGGACCTGGATTAGAAGTATAGCACCTTCTAGTTCCGGGCGCTATTATTTAAAGCACCGGACGATTATAAGGAGTTCCTTATTATAAATCTTATAGTTATATTTAGCAGGGTTTAGCCGTTTAGAGAAGTAGGCTACAGGCTTTAGAACTCTACGCTTATCGGTCTATAATAGGATTCCGGTATTTATATAATTAGATAAGTTGGCTTTAACAGTTATTAGTAAATCCGGGTTAAAGTAGCGGAGAATTAGGGCAGTTATAAAAGCTATTTTAAAATATTTAAACGCTTTCTTGCAGGGTTTATTAAATTAGAATTGCACGCCCTTTTTTATAAGAGTAATAAGGGGTGCAGCTAAGCTAGAGAAGTTGTCGATAAATTATTAGTAGAAGTTGGCAAATTCTATAAAGGCTTATACGTCCTTTATATTATAAGGGGTCTTCTAGTTATAGATATTATTAATCTTATTCGGGTTTATACTAATTCTGTCGGTTAATATTATATA